TATAGGTATGCGCTGCAGTGGGAGTCCCAGAATCTAATTGCAGTGAGCACAGCAATTCAGGATTGGCTAACTTCAAGTAATTTGTTTGACCTGGGATTTGGTTGGTATCCTGATCCGTTAGATGGCTTCAACATTGCTTCAAATTCCTGCAGGACTTGCACTGGAGTTAATGAGGCAAGGTGCTATGTTGACTGTATTAAGCACACTCTTAGCAGCATTGGCTTGGCCTGCAACATTACTAACTGCGACTGATCTTATCGACAGCAAATGGGCAATTGCTATTAACAGGTTGGCTTTCCTTAGCTGTTTCCCTCATGACAGGAACCCTTAATATTTAGAATAGACAAAGAATCAATAATTATGTTTTCAGACTTATTTATTGGTCCAGGAACATATCATAATTGGGGAGTTAGCATGAAGAACATAGAGAAATTTTTGGGGAAAACCAACAAGGAACCTGAGGATTGAGAAAAAGAATGCAAATTTAAGATATTAAAATTAAATGATATGATGCATAACTGTTTAGAATAAACGTGAATAGTTCATGATTTACCAATAAATTAACTATAAAATTTCTGGGTTGTTGGACATCATGAAATAAATTTGATATTTGAATTTCAAAATTGATGTGAGAGGTTTGCTACCACAAATATTTTAAGATTGAGATTTCAGCTTTGTCCAATTATTTAAAATTAGTTGAAAATCATTGGAGAGAAATGAGGAACTTTTAAGTGGCCTAAATGAGAATAATACCAAATATTTTTTTCAAAATTCATGTTAAATTGCATTGTTGTTAGCTTGAATTATTATTTATTTTTATTTTTCTTTTCTTTTGATGAATGTAACAATGCTTGTGGAGAATAAATATAGTCAAGGACTCATTAGATTGGCTCAACATTAGCAACATCCTGGATGTTATGTTATGTCTTCACCTTTCCAAGATGGTTGATAGGATAGTACCAATATTCTGTGAGTTTCTTATCAGGTCCTCATTATCTATCATTTTCTAGGTCAGATAAAGCAGGGAAGCTGCTGGCTGAAGTGTTAGTGAAAGAATTGCAGGGTAACAGGTACGCAAGCAGTTCATTTTAGGGCTCACCTGTATTCAGTGCCATAAAAAGCTTCTGCAAAATGATATTGTTGATGTTTGTTTTGGTTTCTATGAATCTCATAGACCTGTGACTCTTATTGGTTATTCGCTGGGGGCGCGAGTGATTTTCAAGTGTCTGCAAATTTTGTCCAAGACAGAACACCATGGTAGTTACAAATCTTTCCCTCCATGCGAAGGTTTCAGATTTTGCTGCATTGATCATTCTAGTTTAATGAAGTAGTTCTACTTAATATTTGCAGCTGAACTTGTAGAAAGAGTTGTTCTTCTTGGAGCACCCATCTCAATCAAAGATGAGAATTGGGAAGCAGCAAGAAAGGTGATTCATGCAATGTTCTCTGCTCTTTCGTTGTGCAGATCATAATTTTTACCTAACTGATTATTCCCATTGAGGTTTTCTGTTACTGCTCTTTTGTAGATGGTGGCTGGAAGGTTTGTAAATGCGTACTCTACTCATGATTGGATGCTTGGAGTTGCTTTCCGAGCAAGGTAAGGACACATAAACTAAGCACTAAAAAACTACTTTAATCTCTTCCATTGACGCTCTTTTTTAGCCAACCCTTTACTTGATTAAAGCTTTAAAAATTGAAAATAACCTGCCCCTGTACGAAATTCAGCATCTGCTAATGACTACACTTTTTATCAGTGTTAACAAAATAAAAAATGAGTAGTTTTTCCTCCTGATAGCGACTAATAATGGTAACTTGAAACAGTCTCCTCACGCAAGGATTAGCTGGAATCCAACCAATTGATGTGCCCGGGATTGAGAATGTAAGAGACGTTTCCTTAATTTTCCAGCTAGAAATTTTTTTGTTCTATACAAATTCTTTTGTGATTTATTAAGTTGTACCTTGCAGGTAGATGTAACACATCTTGTTGAAGGCCACTCTTCCTATCTGTGGGCTACGCAGCAGATACTAGAGCAGCTTGAGCTGGATGCTTACTATCCTGTTTTCAGGAGCACTGTCTACAACCAATAGAATTCTCAGTTTCAAGTTCCACATCTGCTGCTTGCAGCATTTAACCTCTTAATTCAAGATCAGACATGTTAATGATACTCAATTGTCGGCATCTTTGTAATCTCTCGGAGAGGATGAATTGTGTACAAAAATATGTAATATTCCAGTTCTAACAACTGCTTATTTACCCAAGCACGGATCATCAACGATCCTCAACACAACTACATTGATCAATTTCTTTAATTGTATCATTTATAATCGAAATTAATTGTTGATTTAAGACAATCTACAAAGATTTTCTTTTGTTCTTTTGTTTAGATGGTCAACCTATTCTCAATCCAGCTTCCAGGCACTTCGGCACTAATTGGTAAGATCATTAATAAGTGTTGTAACCCTTGAGATATACCCAGAATCAGATGGAATGGACGAAGATAGGTAGGGTTTAGAATTGAATTCGGTGATCATAGCATAGGGGATAATTCAAATTTGGATAGGTCTTCTGTCTTTGGAAATTGGAAGTGGGTCATCTGAAGTCACTGTTACGGGGTCAATACGACGTCATATTTCGTTCTCATGAATTTGGTTATCGCTCTCTTCTGAATTCTGCATCGCTCCTCCGTGAGGAAAAAAAAAATGGCGCATACAAATTCGAGGGAAAGAAGAGAGTGCAGTGAGCACACAAGTATGAAGACGATCGGAGGAGAAGAAGGAGGCGACGAGATGCAACGATGGAGGGAAACTAAAGGAAGTTCAAAGGGAAAATCATGCAAAGGATATCTTTTCTACTCCTCCACCCTCAGATCCAACAATCGCAACCCTCGTT